CTATAAGAAAGCTTACTACCGTCACGCCTGTTGACTTGAAACTCAGTTATGTATACTATAAGAAAGACTACCACAGTCAGCCCTGTTGACATGAAACTCAGTTATGTATTCTATGAGCAAGATTACCACAATCATGTCTGTTGACTTGAAACTCAGTTATGTATATTATAAAAAAAGATTACCACCGTCATATTTGTTAACTTGAAACTCGGTTATGTATACTATAAGAAAGCTTACTACCGTCATGCCTGTTGACTTGAAACTCATTTATGTATATTATAAGAAAGATTACCACCTGTTGATTTGAAACCCAGTTATGTATACTATAAGAAAGATTACCACAGTCAGCCCTGTTGACTTGAAACCCAGTTATGTATACTATAAGAAAGATTACCACAGTCAGCCCTGTTGACTTGAAACTCAGTTATGTATATTATGAGAAAGATTACCACAGTCATGTCTGTTGACTTGAAACTCAGTTATGTGTATTATAAAAAAGATTACCACCGTCATATTTGTTAACTTGAAACTCGGTTATGTATACTATAAGAAAGATTACCACCTGTTGATTTGAAACTCAGTTATGTATACTATAAGAAAGGTTACCACAGTCAGGCCTGTTGACTTGAAACTCATTTATGTATATTATAAGAAAGATTACCACTGTCATGCCTGTTGACTTGAAACTCAACTATGTATATTATAAGAAAGATTACCACCTGTTGATTTGAAACTCAGTTATGTATACCATAAGAAATATTACCACAGTCAGGCCTGTTGACTTGAAACTCATTGATGTATATTATAAGAAAGATTACCACCGTCATGCCTGTTGACTTGAAACTCAATTATGTATATTATAAGAACGATTATCACCGTCATGCCTATTGACTTGAAACTAGTTTTCTATATTATAAGAAAAATTACCACAGCCATATCTGTTGACTTGAAACTCAATTATGTATTCTATAAGAAAGATTACCACAGTCATATCTGTTGACTTAAAACTCGGTTATGTATATTATAAGAAAGATTACCGTCATGCCTGCTGAGTTGAAACTGTGGCCATACTGGAAGAATAATATACTCCCCTAAAATTCGGATTACCAAAGTACAAGAACTATATGACCATTAAGAGTAAAAAACATAAAACTCTTTATTATCAGTTACAACCAACTAGTTTCGGTAACACAGATACCAGCAGTTAGGTAATTGTGTTAAAGAAACCAATAGGCTGTAACTAATATTAATAGTTTACGTTTCACTGTACCAAGAAACGTCGGTTTTGTGTTTTTTACTCTATATATTGTAGCACAATGTGCCTGAAAAGAAATTATAACAAATGACCGCCAAGTCTCTTCTTAAATGAAGCTCAGATATTCGAGTGCAAAAGCTATAAATGTCATGTTTGTTCAACTGAAGCTCGGAGACCCATAGTATAGTTATTATGGATACTCCATCTATGTACTTGAAGTGTGGATATACAGTGTGCTGTAATAACGACAGGAAACATTTACTACTTCGAAGCTCCCTTATTTTATGCACGTATATATATTTATAAATACATTATTATTCCATATGTTTACTTTACCCTAAATAGTTAAGCTATAATATAGCTCTGGAAATTGCTAATTATTTTGATTACAGCTATTTATACTAAGAGAACGATAACAAGCATGTATAGTAATGAACCATAATGGTTAAAGAGTGAGAGCAACAACCGCCATCTTTATTTAGCTGGCGTATGAATGTGCAGACTAACGGAATGACAACTATTGTCCTACATTAGAGCTAGGATTTTTGACAGAGCGTTAATGGTGGCAGCCATGTTCGCTAAATTAATAATAGTCATCATGAGTACTTTCCTAAAGCGCTGATGTTCTGACAAGGATCATGGTTGCCATGGTCACTGGGTAAGGTTTTCAAGACAACAAAATGTCTGCCATGCCTTTTCACTCGAAGTATAGGAATTGAGACTTTAAGAATGGCATCCATTTTATATTCTAGAGGAGATCAAGTGATCAGAATAAAGTAATGCCCATTTGGGTCTCGATTCAAGAAAGCAATGTCTGTAGCCGTTATATCTCTCCAGTTTAGAACAATAGCAGTTTTGTCGACAAATCAAAATAATATCTGTATATATAAGGCAATTTCTAAATGAGGTTACAAGCACAGATGATTAGATGTTCTAAACTATTAGACCAATTAGATATCACAGCAAATCCTCGAATCCTAGAAAGTACACATCCACAAGATGTAAAATTGCTATTAATAATCAAACTAGAATAAAAATATTTTGATGTATTCTATAAACACTGAAACACAAAGTGATATAAGTTGGTGATTTTGAATGTGAGAATAATTCTGAAAAAAATTATACATCCAGGATAAATCAACATTAGGCACCTAATATCGTAAACGTTAAAAAATATCTTTTGTCTGAAGAAGAAGATCTCAAAAATGAGCTTGGACGTGAAGTTTACCTGACATTCAAAGGGTATGTATTAACTCCAGAGATATCAATTATTATTTATTCTTTAAATATCTTTTATAAACAATAACCGTGTCACAATACCAAATTGATACATAACTTACAATTACATAAAAATTCAATACAGAAATATGCATGAATTATTACGTATTTACTGCAAACACACCAGATCGTAAATGATCCTGATATTACGTTTATTTTTTCACACTTTATTAGTTTTCTAACAAGTAGTCCTCCGGTGGGACAGCAGTAAGTTTACAGACTTACAACGCTCAAATTCGAGGTTTGATTTACTGCGGTGAACATAGTAAATAGCCCAATGAGGCTTTACTCTAACAATAAACAAACAAATCTAACAAATGATACGTTTCATATGTCAACAAACTTGAAAAGTTACTTTTTTTTTTGCTTTGCCAAATTTTATATATTGGTTTAAAACATGGTCTCTTTCTTAATATTAAAATGTATGTATAAATCCCCATGGCGAACAATTAAAGAGAAGTTGACATCTTACAAACTTTTACTTCGTTTGGCCTACCTAAATCAAAACTTTGTTCCTAATTCATTATGAATCATTTTTGAGAAATGTTTCTTTGAAGAGAAAAAAGAACGTAGAAACGCCACACTTGTCTTATAGTTTAGCCATGAAATAATTCCACAGTTTTCTTAGCTTGGCAAACAATCAAACAAAAAAAAATTAAAAATACTTCTTGACATCTTTAGATCGTAAACAATTACTGATGTGTTGGTACACGTTAGTCAGATGGACTTAGTTTTATCTCTATATGTATATGTATATTAAATTGTGTTACCCCCCCCCCCCCAGGGATAAGTCAGAAGACTCATAACTTACAGCACAAATATCCTATTCTGTGGCTTTGCGCTTAACAAAACAACAAACTAACTAACACAGAACTACACTCTTAAGCTCTCCCTATCGGGAAACTGCCTAGAATTTGAGGAATATAATGGAAAATTATACTTTTAAACAAACGTGTTTTTTTTCCTCAAAAGCATATAATTATCGGGCTGTTAATAAATAAAACTAAAATATTTTGTTAAAATACGTTAACTGTTTAGTTTGGACTACAACAATTCATTCTTCATGATATTTCTTTTGAAAGTATATTTGTAATGAACCTCTTAAACAAGTTATAAATTTTTTGTCCATACATTCACATATAGTTAGCTTCTATAAAGTAATACACATAGTAATGTTTACGAACTTCAACTGCACTCTTACTGACACATTACGAAATCTTAACTTGTCTTTATGATTTGAACTGCGACACCTCAGTTTAGTGAGTTTAAATAAGCCTTATGCAAGTCAAGCGAAATATCTTTTTTTAACAACCGTGCAAACAGCTGAAGTCTGCAAACCACAATTTTAACACATAAATCAAAGTATATAGTCTGTCTGAACCACCTCGAATCATAACACCTGCTTACTTCTTTCAAACCGTTACCATTTTCTATAAATCGCTTATTCAGTCTTGTCTAATTAGGTATAGAAACCGGGTTTCGATACCCGTGGTGGGCAGAGCACAGATAGCCCATTGTGTAGCTTTGTGCATAACTTCAAACAAAACCATCTTCACCTAGGTTTTAGCCATATATGAATCCAAATATACACAGTAAAACGTTAGAATACCAATTTGAAATAAACGTGCATCCGTTTATGATCAAATGTCCCACACCAACTTCTCACCACAGTTACCATAGTTACCCATCACAATGATGACCCTAATGATCTCCATTTTGCTAACATAACATGAATTTTCTGGTATCATCAGCCATCTCATCACAAATCAATCTACAATCTTTCGATAATAACAAGGAAAAACAATTATGACAGGCAAACTTTATTACGGTCATGTGAACTTGTAATGTTTACATGAAACCTGGTGAAATTTAAACAAATTCGTGGTAAGGTACCAGTCAGAATTTACGATAGCACGGGGCTGGAGAAAATGTGATGAGGGATAATTGTTTACTTCTTCAAAATGGGGATGAAAAGGAACTAGTCAGAATTTACAACAGGGGGATCTGGGGAATATGATAGGGATTATTTTTTACTTCTTCAAAATGGGGTCATGATTTTTTTACCATCATCATAGTAAAACTATTAAACAAAAAACATACATCATCACAAATCAGCTACACCGTCACAGACGGATGTGCCCTCATGTGGATAGTGCACTGGCCTGTAAACTGCAAAGTCCTAGGCTTTGTAAGGCTTCGGTTGCGGAGAAGCTGATCTAAGGTGATACGTGCCCTGTGTTTGACAGGTACAGAGATTTTAGCATAAAAAGTGGAACTAAATCAAGCAGACAGGCAGAAACGAGTCTGGTGAAAATGTAAAAAAAAACAAAAAAAAACTTGCTTCCAATACCAGTTTCTGAAGATGTGTTACTTGCTCCAATGGACATTTTGAAATCGATCAAATGTACTTGTAATGGCAATGTGTAGTGCAAATCAAAGAGATATAGCTATAGTAAGACAGACTTACTCTGTTCAATATTCTGTTGTTGTCAAAGAAGCAAAGACTGCTGCAACAGTTCCACAATGGCAACATCTACTTTGGAACAACTTGATGACTAAAGATGAAAGGAAGATATTGAGTGGTTGTAATCTCTATATTAATGCATGACGATACTATTATATAATCAGTTATTTACCATTGTGTTCTATTTGAAAGCAAACGACAATCACTCTCCAAAATGTTAACTTATAAGTATATTCGGCAATTTTATCGTCTTTACTAGGTTGAAGTTAGCGCAAAGAGTCATATCATTTTTTTTTTCTTAAGTAAAGATATAACTGATGTCAAATCAAACAATATCTTGTTTATACAACGATTACATTTAATTATTTTGGATATATTGGGCCTACGGAAGGCTTTTAGAAAAATGTCACGAAATACAATAGTCAATCCAATATATGAGTTTAATGCCCATGACTCCTAAGTCGAGAATTTATCATAAAATTTTATTTAAAAGTCAAACTAGGTCACTGCTAGGTTGATCTGTAATGTTGAAATGGTTAGACAGAAGTCAGTCTATTCTGATATGGTAGCCATATTGGCCGCCATGTCCAATTTTCTATTCCCAAATGAAATTACACATATTAAAAATGTATATTCCGACTCCTTGACCCCGAAGACATAAATATAGATATCAAATTTAGGGTTCCATATCATACAGAAAGTGAGGTATTAGAGATTTCTTGTTTTGGTAGCCATATTAACCACTATCTTAATTTTTTTAATTACCTTTTATAATGGCAAGTCACTTGGTTTCATATTTGAACTCCTTGATCTTAAAACCTAAGTGTAAACACTATAATTGTGTTTCTATGTCATATAAGAGCTGATATGTGGGCTTCTCTTTGATTTGGCAGCTATCTTGTCCGCCATCTTGAACATATCGAAATTCCCAAGTCTCACAAAAAATAGTCCATCGAATTCGTAATAAGCGCCCTCGAATTATCCTAAAACCATCAAGAAACGCTGTATAAACGCCAAGATGAGGTTCACCTCAAAAAGTGAGTTTGATTGCTGGAGTAGGTAGAACAATTTTTTGACAAGTAGAAAAAATGCGTATTTACCTGTTACATCAGTGACAAAACACCCGTTGAATAGGTAGGTTTTGAATTTATACATGAAAGTTGAAACGACTCTCCCCCCCCCCCCTTAATGCGAATACATCCTTTTGTTAGTTGGACAGCTGGAAGGAAATCCCAATTGTCACTGAAGATTAGGCGATATCCACGCGATAGGCATGCCTATACTGAATTTGCGAAATGCCAGCTATTGTTATCTGTCTATTGAGGATTAAATTTTGTTCAACAGTATATGACAGGCGGAGAGTCAAGTTTCAGCTCACCTAAGATGCTCTAGACATCTGATTGACAATTTGTTTTTTGTTGTTTTTTTACAGAGTTTAACAATCGTTTGCACAGAAGTATAAAAATCAAACCCATAATTCTTGCTGAAGAGTTTTGAGAAAATTTATTTATTTACCAGGCGACACTTGAAACAGCAACAACAACTACAACAAATGTTTAAAAACAATTAGTTTTTATGAATAAAAACTTTTGGGCACTTTCTATCTCTAACTTTATATAGTCTTTTCTACAGAAAAATATGTTGTGAACTCTGGTAATCTTACATATTTGTGTATTTGTATCTAATAATCTAGGAACTTAGCGTGGTCCACTAGTTAGAGTGGCAGACAATGGATTTGCGAATCTATGTTTGCGTCTAGTTATTGTCAAGAAACAATTTTAGCTGCGAATTTTGTAGCTGTGGGTGCGTTATAAGAGTTATGGTCACATCCTATTATTAGGTCACATAATAGTAGCTCAAGAGTTCATGGTGGGTACTGTTGACTAGTTGCCTTCCCTCTAGTCTATCAGCTCAAAATTTGGGACGGATAGCGGAGATATCTCTCGAGTACCTTTGCGCGAGTAACTGAAAACAAACAAACTGGTATTCTTAAAATTACTTTTATGTTGTTGTTTTTAAAAGTAATAAATAAATTCCGAAAACCATAATTCAAGTTAATATATTATGCAAAAGACAGCTATATTGACTAAATCCTTGCACAGAAATACCTTAAATTATTTCCATTTTCCACAGATTTAACACACAAGTCTTGTCGATGACTAACATACCCATACAATGATTACACAGGCCTGCGAATTTAAACCTCATAAAGTTTGTTTTGGTTTTAATAACGGATCTTCCATAATTCAGCTACACAGATTTCGAAAACAATATAATTTTTTTCTATTACGCAAGGATTTTTTAAAAATCGGGAACAAGAAAAAACTCTTACTTAGATCAAATTATTATTTCATTTACCACAATGAAATTTTTTTATTATTATGGTTGTGTTCTAGAACGATCGATAAGACTTTCACGTCGCGATTGGTCTAGAGAAATCTATAGCCAGTGGTTGTCAACATTTTAAGCATAACAAAATGTGACCCAATTTTTAAAAAAATTATTCACTTATGTAAAAGTACATATGACGTTTTATGAAAAATCTGTACGAGATGGAGAAAAATGGATATCATTTTCTGATTCAGCGTACAGGAATTATTGTAGAACACATAAAAATTTGAAGACAATAAAACCATCGCAGGCCTGTGTTGTTATGTTGTGAGGTGGAAGGTTATTAGAACATAATGAAAATAATGAATTACGAGCAAGTTTTGCGGCTGTGGCTTCCTGTTATAGATTTAACCATGAAATTTACATTGATAATAAACATTATTTAAAGAATTTAACAAAGAAAGGCGAGTTATCTCTATCCGGAATATAACTTCATTTTTTATATAAAAGACAACATTTGTTAATATTGTTTAAGGATAAGCTGCACAAAAGTATGAAGTAAAATACTGAAAAAAAAGTTAGAATTAACTAACGATCTACCACGACTTCTGGACTGGGTAAAGGTTCCTGAGGAGAATATTTTTATGTATATGTATTTTCGATTGATGTATGAATTTAAATTACTAACAGATCGTTTAATAAAAATAATTCAGAAGAATAAATTAGTAGAGCCAATGTTACACATTCTTCAAATCCTAAATAAATATAAGTTCTCTGTGGTGTAGTTTTTTTTAATTTCGCGCAAAGCTACACGAGGGCTATCTGCGCTAGCCGTTTCTAATTTAGCAGTGTAAGACTAGACGGAAGGCAGCTAGTCATCACCACCCACCGCCAACTCTTGGGCTACTCTTTTACCAACGAATAGTGGGATTGACCATCACATTATAAAGCCCCCACGGCTGAAAGGACGAGCATGTTTGGTGTGACGGGGATTCGAACCCGCGACCCGCAGATTGCGAGTCGAGTGCCCTAACCACCTGGCCATGCCGGGCCACTGTGGCGAGTAAGAGACATCTTAAAACACCATACACAGACACTGCAAGAAACCTAGTCTTCTTATTTCGAGTTGCTCTTGCAGTGACAAGTGGTGAATCGAACGATAGATTGTACTTATATTTATTATTACTATTCTAAACAGATTATCTGTTGAGTAATTCAAAAGAATGCATTAGCACCATCGATAATACATATTCTTCAAATATTGTAAAATATAAGATGGTGAGTAAGAGGCAAATCAAAACACCACTTATATATATACTGAATGATGAATGCCTTATATTAAAAAGATTTTCAATGTGCAGGTCAAGTGACAATTACAGCTAATATAAAGTCGCGATGGAACGGAATGCATCTAAAATACATTTTAATATTTTATAGCGTTTCATGAGTAGTGTGATTCCACCGAAAGTTGACCACTTTAAGGAAGAGTATGTTTGTTTGTTTTGGAATTTCGCGCAAAGCTACACGAGGGCTATCTGCGCTAGCCGTCCCTAATTTAGCAGTGTAAGACTAGAGGGAAGGCAGCTAGTCATCACCACCCACCGCCAACTCTTGGGCTACTCTTTTACCAACGGATAGTGGGATTGACCGTCACATTATAACGCCCCCGCGGCTGAAAGGGCGAGCATGTTTGGTGGGATGCGGATTCGAACCCGCGATCCTCAGATTGTGAGTCGAGCGCCTTATCCACCTGGCCATGCCGGGCCGGGAAGAGTATGTAACAGTCCTTTCCGACGCAAAATATTCATACACTCATATCATAAGGATACGTTCAGATCAAGGGTTTAGAATGTCTAAAACGACAATATCCCTTGTACTTAATGGCATTGGATTGTTTGTTTGTTTGTTTTGAATTTCGCGTAAAGCTACACGAGGGCTATCTACGCTAACCGTCCCTAATTTAGCAGTGAAAGACTAGAGGGAAGGCAGCTAGTCATCACCAACGAATAGTGAGATTGTCCGTCACATTATAACGCCCCCACGGATGAAAGGTCGAGCATGTTTGGTGGAAC